ACTGTGGTTTTTGCCCATTCCTACCATCCATTCTATGAGCCCATGAAACCCTTCTGTTTAAATTAGCCTGAAGTCATCTCTGTTGCTTACCGCCAGGGACACAGTCACATACACACACATGCTAACACCCAATCTGCTTCCTGGGAGATGCCACCCCCTGATATCTAGCAAGGAACACAAAAACAACCATCCTCCTAGACTCCCAGGAGAAAACAGGGGGAAAGGAGGGTGTGATCCGTGCATATCCTCAAATCTGCTTTTATTAGTAAGTATAGCAATGCTTGACTAAGTAATAGTACATGAAAATGATGATATCCATTTTCTTTCCCTATCACTCTCGGAATAACCTCAGTGAAAGGAATTAAAAGGAAAACTCTTCCCTTGTGCAATCACATCACCCAATATCTGTCCTACTACTATATACTTCTGTAATTCTATTTTTTCATATCTAAAAATCTTTCCTTGGCCCCTTCTCATACCTGTCCTAGATTTTACTTTGCTCCCATTTAGAACTTAAGCATTAACCATCTTTTCAATACCACCATGTTATATATTCATAAAATTAAAGAGTCTAAGATTAGAAAAGAAGTGTACACCCATGAAACACAGGTTCTGGGTGAGGCAGAGCTAAAGGCATGTAGAGACATTGCATGTATGAAAATTCTCTGAGAATTTACTAAATTGGATGCTTTAATGTTTTTACTAATTGTCTGCCTAAAATGAAAGACCAGTGAGAACTGAAAGAAGAGTATGAAGTCAAATATGGCAGTTTACTTAGAAGTGAGTATGGAAAGGCAGAGTAGGCTAGAAGGGGTGTGGTGTTTTGTTTCCTAATCATGCTTTGCAAAAATGACTGGTACCAACCTACAGGGTCAGCTCCACAGCATATTATCATTTAGCCTGGGAAAGTCTAGATGAATAAGCTTCTCAGGTTGCCTTCACACTGGAGTGCACAGGTGGGAGTCCAGGGTGCATGAAGGCCTTCCAAACGATCTGGAAATCATGCCACTCGACTCATTCTAAAGATCAGTGTGTACTTACTTTAATTACTTTTCTCCTATACTAAGGGACTCAAAATATCATAAATTTGACAAAATTTTGTTTTCAAAAGTTTGTTTTCAGAAAACCCCTCTCCTAGACATTTTCCCCATAAATTGCTATCTATCTTATAATGTTACATTTCCTTGAGATAATTTGAATAAATAGTGTTGAAATGCTCCATTTCTTACAAGCCTTTCCTTTAAAACGCATCTTAAAGGGAGAAATATATTGCTATTTACTTATCAGATGATAACATGAGCTAATTTTCACAATACTATGGGGAGAACATATAACTATTATAGTTTGTCTAAGTAATCACATTGACAGATGATGTAAAGGTTCTCTTTTAAAGTTGCAATAACCAGAGACATTGTGTTCTGTAGTATCTAGCAATTTCTAAATTTACATAGGTAAAATATTCTTCCTTGTTCACAGACCATAAAATCACACATCTCGTTTGCAATTGAATTTTTTGGAGGCTCTCCCAAAGGAGGGTTAGATGCATAAAATGTTTTTTAATTGAATATATTCCAGAATAGAGATGTGTAATCCCTTCCTATATCAATATCTGACTAGATTTGTAAGGATGATAACTATTTGCTGAATTTTTCTATCCAAAACTCCTCTTTGATTTCTTCCACTCTGCCCTACTTTGGGATTACACCTTTTCTCTCTATTTTCCAGATGTCTTCCATGCCTATTCTTGTCTCTCAGGCTTAGAAACTAAACCTACACAGGATGACTACAGATCTTGAAATGGAGCTAGCCTGCATTGAGATTTGTAATAATATACACACTGAATTTCAAAGCTTTGTGAAAAAAAAAATCATAAAATGTCTGTAACTTTTGATATTGGTTAGAAGTTTAAATAATAATATTTTGGAAATACAGGTTTAAGTCAAAAATATTCTTAAAATTGATTCATTTGCTTCTCTTAAATTTTAAGGTGGCTAATTTAAAATTACTTAGTGGCTCACATTATATTTCTCCTACATGGTGTTTGCCTGTGATATGTCCTTCCACCCTAAGACTGTCCTTCTATCTCTCCCCAAACATGTGATGGACTATAAATATGATTATTCTCCTTTTCAGCTTATTGAGTTTCACACAACCAAACCATCACATGGTACCCCACTTTTAAAAACATATATATAACAACTTAAGGTTTCGAGGTTTTCTCAGAGTTTCCTAGTTCTTTTTCCCCCTGGGGAATAAGAATTCTTGGTGAAGAAATCCCCCTATGGAACATAAATCTGTAAAGAAGGTCAGCTCTGCACTAAAGGGCATACCGTTCTCCTGGGGGTCTTACCACAAACTACCCCAGCCGAACAAGGAAGATCAATTTCCCTTCAAGGGAAATACTGGAGTTTGTACTGGAAATGTCCCCCAAAGGCCTACCTGTTAAAGGCTTGGTCACCAGCCTGTGGTGCTGCTGGGAGGTGGGAGAACCTTTACATGG